ATTGTTTACCTCGACTTCTCTCAGGTATATGAACTTATCGTTAAGAACTGACGTTGTTGCATCGTACAATAATTATTAGTGATACACGTTATTACATATGTGCGCTGATACCTGTCGAAACAGCAACATATTTCCCGCTGTTAAAAATTCAAGCTACGACGGTGCTGACAACGTCCCTGTGCAACAACACATTTTTCTGATGAACTCCTTGATGATTTACACAGGCAAATGTATTATTATGTTATAAATATACTATTACGAATCACTGACGATCGGAATTGACGACGCTTTTGAGTGGGTGCCAAAGAGCAGATTAATCACCTGTTCTGGCTGGCTACCGTACAACATTGCATTAAATCAATACACACAGATAAGCTTCATATTAACTTATTGCCATCACGTATCGCCCACGACGAGAACAGACAGACATTACGTGTTCGAATGGCGTACTGTGGAGAGGCACCGCAACGTTGAGGGGACTCTGCCTTCCACAATCATCTGCCTACGTTAAAATGGCTTAGTTAAGAGTGGCTGAAACATGGTCTGCGATCATTATATAGGTGACAAATTGCGCTCACTAGATAAACGCCTACATATCTCAAACGAGCAACCCCTCTTACCTGCTCGCTGCCAGCGGCCCGGCAGCTCTACGGAAGGCGCACGTTTATCTATAGGCGATCCTTTCAATAGGCCGTCGACTTGTTACTTTCCTACATGATGATACACTCAAAACTCGCCGAAGTAACATCCCTTCATTCAGATCATTCGCTTGCCGACTAAATCGTTTTAGCCTAGAAGAGTACGGCGTCCTTTTTTACGTATAGCGTTGCTTACCATTAGTTATCACTGCCAGCAAATATAGTCGCCACGAGTAGAAACTCTTACTTAATAGATAGTGTAGGTTAAGACATTTGTGACGGTGATGACGAGTTGGAAAAGGGGTAAATAAGGATAGTTTTCAGCCCTCGTAGGAATGAATAGCTTCTATTTTATAGCGTCTAAAATTTGCGTTACTGCCCGTATGACATACCCGTGTAACGATAGGTGTGTCCCTAAATTTCTATTCAAGTTGTCACAGTTGAAGCGAGAGCCCATCAGTGTCACAATAACTTAAAGTTAGTCACACAGCCAAGCTACAAAAGCGCATGAGAAAGATAGAGACTCACAAGGGATCGGCAATCGTCGAGAAAGTGTACAAACTAAAGAGGTATTTAGTAAACAACAAACAAACCGCCCATCATTGAATAGAGCTAACGTTAACGGTGGCGAGTTGTAGTAGTACAAATACCAGTTGTAGTTTTGGCTATTAACTTCTCTGTTGCGTCCTTCGTGCTTCTCCGGCTTAAACGAAAAAGCCAGAACCGGTTGATGGGCGAGATAATAGCGTCCACCGAGACACGGCTGCTGCAGTCCCTTGAAGATAATCTGGAATGTCTATGGACATCCGAACCATACCAATCGGTACTTGGCCAGGTTGTTTGTTCCACTGACCTGCTGTGTCATTGGCGAAAATGAAGAAGGGTTTCAAATAAACCAGTAAAACGCTACCGTCGATACCGTAAGATGTTGTTGGTGTAGCTCCCTGTAAAAATGGCGGTGCTCGATGCTAAGTGGTGCATTACGCTCGATAGATGTAATTAGGGTTCGATTCTCATCAAGCGTCAGGCAAGATTACGTTACCTAATTGATGAACAACTAGGTCAATGATCAGGACAACAGGAACTTGAGATTCCTTTACGGTAACCGTCGCATGTTGGCACAATGATAAAATTCATCTAAGTATAAATAGTGTTTTTAAAAGAGATGTCTTCTAAGGAGTTTGAAGTGTATTATACAACAAACGCGGGACAGTAATACACTCCTCATTGTGTATCGATTGGGTTACGCAACGCTGTGGGTCTCGTCTTAATTTCGATTAAGGTCGATTTTTACCGTTCCGCAATTTATCATTGGGTGGTCAAGTATGCTGTCGACTGAGAACACACAGAAACCTCAGTCAGCAATGGAGCTCATAAGGCTCACCACGGTCGGCACACTTACGGAGGTATTACCAGAAAATCTTTATTGTCTTTCGTATGTAATCCGCTAGAGACAACAAGAATGACTTGCTTAACGTAAATTGCAATTTATCAGCGTAAAATTTCGTTTTAATAAAAATAGCAGACGTATATTAGAATGTCTGATTTTTCACTCGATTCATCAGTCAGAGCGCATCTGTGCTCACATTGATAGGGTAGTGAAATTTCGTTCATAGATCTTTATTTTGTTCATTTTTTTGAGCCTGACCAACTGCTGTGCATCCCTGCGCGTCAATACCGGGGTAGCGTATCTAAAAAAGCATCAAAATATATTGATCTACTCCATGAGTAATTATCGAGCCGTCAAATAGGTTTAATCGAATTTTACACCCTTTACACGTACAATTGCTTCATGAATTCCGTTCGTAACTTGTTAACATTTTATAGACGAGCGTTTGAAAACCTAGTTATGCTTCGAAAATGACCCTTTCACTTCCTCTATAATTCTATTGTCTACGCATTTCTGACGACTGCATTCTGCCTGAATAAATGAACAAATTACTATACAGGCTAAACACACACAAACACTCTCAGGATATCGTATCAGATAATTATATTCGCTATTTTCAGCAGCCCACAAAGTCCAAAACATTACTTTTGCATTTCGTTAGAATTCTACGTATCTAATACATTTGTACGGGCAGGGTTTTTTTTTTTCTAGCTCGAGCTAACGCTGTAGACGTACTTATAGCGACGATGCGTCCAAGTCGTACCGCAAACAATGTCCGCTATCGGCTGTACAAGATCACTTCATTTTTTTTTCTCGTTCGGGCACGTTCGTCGAAGAAGGTGAGAGATCACATGACTTAATAAGTTTATATTATATAAGATTCACTTCTAACAGCAGAGAAGTGAACGTCAGAAGAAACTTGTGGCCTGCTAAACATTGTACCTTTATCGAGCGTATTTATTTAAAAAAAAAAAAAAAAAATACCTCCAAATTATAAAATTTTATACTAACAAATGATCAAAACGAACACGTTTTTAAAGAGATTATCAAAACGTGGAGCCATGTCATACCTATGTCCCAATGTAAGCTTAACAAACTGATTGCTTATCGCCAAACCTTCGATGGGACAAAGTATACATATGTACCGCTAATACTAAAGTGGACGCAACCAGTGCCGCATTTCGAGGTTACCATCATTATATTAGCTTTCTCTATGCCCCTATTGTTGACCGTAACTTGACAAATTTTGCACAGAACATGCACGAGCCGGCAGTGTATCAGAGCGGGTATATAAATTCGATTTAGAATTATATATATGCATACATATTTTTTGGGTAATGTTGCGGTATATTCAAGTATTCTATGATGAGACGGTGTCATCACCTGCTAGCGTAATTACCTATTACGCTAACCTAACCTAACCTAACCTAACCTAACCATGTTCGAAAACACTCTAAAAATTGCATACGTAAGTTGAGTTTTTAGAATGTAGATTTACGTCCGTCTCTTTCATGACCTACTGGTGACAACGAGCAGTTTACCTAAACATTTTACATACTCTATATGCATAATGTGGTGAAATTTTATTTCTTCGTCGTGTTATTTAATGCTGGCATTGAAGTAGACGAATCTAAATTTGTGACAAACCTCCGACTCTAAAGGTCCTTTATCTTCTATTAGGCCTTTGACATCACCACTGGCCGATCGGTCGCCGTTTTGCGTTCATGCATTTTTAGTCCTGTTATTCGACGGTGTGTAAAGGCGCCATAACAAGACAGATAGTAAATATATGATGACTGTGGCCTTCTGTCGGACATTCTATAAAATTAAGGACTTCCAACAAAATTATCTTACTGGGATTTACTATTATACAAACGGATTTATCAAATGGCGTTAAGACACGAAGCTTTTTCGACGTCCCTTCTGAGGTATGTAGTCACTGCCGCTAGGCGGGAAAGCTCACTTCAGACTCACCTAATGTGTAGAAAATAGCAAACGTAATATATAACGCTTTATTTCCTTTCCCTTAATAGTGCTTGTATAACAATATACTTAAAATCGTTTCTGTAATAAGCGACAGCGGAACTACGCTGCGTTGGAACAGAATAGAACGCACTGATTAGAAGTATCGTGAACTTACTGAACTGTTCACAAGTTTTTAAATAGTATACAGTGCAGCTCAAACTTATGTGTTGTTCAATAAAAAAAAGTTCTATAATGGCCCAGTTTGAGTGGAGATTAGTTCGTTCATGTCTACTGGGTTACGTCGAAACGATTCGAAGACAAAAATTCAGGCGCATCTTTATTTCTGTACTTATACAGAGATATGATAATAATTTTCTTCTCCCTTCTCCTTTTTCCTGTCGCATCTCATTACATGTAAAAGGAATAAGTGTAAATAATTATCGCCGTCACAAGCATCAACTGCATTATCATGAGTACACGACTGAAAGAAGGAATAAATGACCGTGTTCATCGAGGCTTTAACGCTTACTTATTCGGAGGTCGGACACTGCGAGTAAACAAGCGACAGATATGAACGAAAAGAAACATAGAGGGAACGTATGATCCAGACATTAGCTCATCCGTACGCTTTTGTCATTATACCTCCGGCGACCCGACGTCTGCTTGCCATGTGGTCAGTCGTTTGAAACCCCCTGCACCAGGGCAGACCGAAAGGCCGGCTTCCACGCTAGCTGAATAACCGATGTCGTGTGGTCCCTGAGTGTTAAATATAATTGACTGACGGACAGACTCCGAACGCAATGTGAGTGCTTGAGCAAGCAATAGTTTGGTTAGCGGGTGTTAAGAACGCCGCTGGCTCGGTGAAGTAAGGCTTTTGACCGAGTACAGCTGTAATGAGCTGGCCGGCCATTTTTCCCTTGGTCGTTCTGTTCTGCTCGCTTGCTGACTTAATCTGTACCCTATGGCGATACTAAGTCTCTCCTAAGAACAGTAAGGCAAATGGGGCTTTCCCGTAGGCCTACTAACCTTGGGGCAAATAGACAGAAACGCCAGGGGCAGTCCGGAAAACGAGCATGACGAGAACGTTATGGCCCGGTTTCCCTGTCCATGTTATCCCTACTTTCTCATCGGGCAATGCGCAAGTTCTTTTCAGTATTTTAGTACTACTAGCAACCAAACCGTTATACAGCTTCGTAATGGTTTAGTGTAGCTGTCTTGCTTTGGCGGGATTTCGTGCGGGGCCTGTGGAGCCTCTCGTGAAAGGGCCTGGGTCTTTTCGCGTGGCCGTTGCCAGCAAAAGGCGAAGTTGTGCGACTCTGCGTTGGGCGGCGTTCCGTTGACTAGCGGCGGGCCATCGGCCAGATCGATGCGCTCCAGACTCTATGACGCCTTCGAGGGCGGAGTAGCCTCTGGACTTGACTGTCTACGGGTCTGCTGCGGTAGCAGGCTACGGACTACATAGGCATGGACAGCTTAGAGCTTTATATACGGCGGTGTTCGGGCCTGCTTCTATCGAGCGGAGTCGTACTAGCAGTAGTAGCGGCGAATGATTTCGTTTCTGTATATATGACTCGTCGAGCTAAACGAAAGATACCGGAGAGTTGCCGCCATTCTGGCGGACGCCTGCATCAGCGTACCGTGTTGAATGTAGCGGCTGCTGCTGCTGGCTCGGCTGTAAAGCGTACACCGGTACTACACGAGTGGCACCCCCGCAAACCCTGCACGACGGCTAACGGCACAAGTGCGGATGTGCCGGCTACGGAACACTGCGCCAGGCAAGAGACAATCTGCAGCAAGAGAGCACATACTATACTCAGCCGCTGTCCAGCGATAGGAGCGGATTGGCTGGCGCCAACAAGACCCGTCGGGTAGTACGCCGCCACATGATTCGGTGCACGACGACACGGCGCTCACGACCTCAGCGAGAGCGGTAACAGCAGCTCATTAACGGAAACAATCGTTTTCGAGCAAACAGTACTCGCATCCGCTCAACAAATTCTTACTTGAGCTGCCTGCAGTCAGTAGTCCCCCTGACGCCACAGTTACCCTGGGTACTTACGCTGTTTCTGTATCTTGCCTGCTGTAAGCATTCGGCGCGTGTCCCGCTCATATAGTTCCACAAGGTGACCTGCTGTCTCGAAGCTTACAGATAACTTGCAATGGACACATTGGTTTACGCCAGCTGATAACGAGTTCTGGTGGTGCCGTTCTGTCGCGACAAATGCTGATTTCATTAATTTGTCTGGCTGTCATGTCTAACTTCTATCCTTCTACCGTGCTATTGGCCTACAAGCCCCTCTGATGATTGCGGATCTGTTACGAAGTGACTGTGATAGTGCGAGGTTGTGAATTTGATTACGGTGAACTTGGCGCGCTGATATATAAAAGTTGAACTCATTCGGCAAATGTTGTTATTCGACGTTGTTCTACTTTGCAGATTCTCTACCATGCCAAACCGAACTTAACGAAGGAAAAATAGCATCCGCCATCTCCGGGGAATTTCCTGGGCATTGATAGCATTTCCACAATAGTTGATCTTCGGAAAAAAGCCAGTGCCATTACGTAGTCGAGGCTTTACTGTTTGGTATTAAATCAGTCTATCCCCGTTACTTTTCATCTCATTGCTTGTGGCCCTATCCGACGATACTATTAACCGCTACGGCGTCAGTCACATAGCTGGATTGGTTACCGTGATTCCCTCTTGAGGCAATCTTGTCATCAATGTTCACTGATACCGTTGCCGATATGCTAGTTAGCCTTGAAACGAGCGCGTCTCAGATACTTTGAGAAGCCTAGTGATAAAGAGCTAGCAGTTGTACAACATGACCCTTGGCAACAACAAGTCTTTCCCATCGACAGCTACCGATCACGCCGACGCAGGAGCCCCTACAGACGACTGATCATTATAGCAGCAAGCAAATACGTTACATATATTCCTGTCGAAGATAACTGGGTGACTAAGTACTGCATCGGCGTAATTGCCAGTGATCTACGCAGGCGAAACTAGGAACGATTCATAGAAAGTAACTGATTGAAATCGTGTTTTAAGTACGTGTGACGTTTTTGTAACGTCAATGGACTCATTAATTGTCCAGTGCATAACTAAACTCTCAGTCCAGCAGGGTGCGAATGATCGAGCAAAAATGTAGCCAAAACCGCAGCCGTCACCGGGAACAACACAACGATATCTGTTCGCGTCTCGATCGGGTACATATCGTTCGTCGCCGTATTCAGACAGATAATTAATAATAAGTTCTACGGCTGCATAGAAGAATCAGTTAATATCTACTGACTAGCGTCTAGCGCGTCCTTCGAGGCCTCCGACTGTCAAAACAGGCAAACAACTTAAGCGAAGCAACTGTACATTGCTCTTCGTACTGTGCTTCTCGATCGTGCAGTTGGTTAAAGCAACTTATCTCTAGCCTCTTACATGTCTATCGGAAAGCGACTAATTTAAACAGGGGAATTTAATCGGCCCCGATCATCGCGAACGGCATATTCAAGCTTTTGTCGTAGCTCGCTCAATTCACCGCCTATAGCGGAACTTCCACCTTTTGATGCTATTAGAGTTTAGAAAGACGCGTTTCGGAAACTATCATACTTTTAACCGTTACATGTTCTTCTACTCTGCTACTACAAATACGGTATACGACCTAGCCAAAAACGCTAGATTATTTAGAGAACAAGCTTTTCTCACCGCACGGAATGAAACCTCCACACCTGAGCTAACCACCGAGAGCTTTATTGTGCCTTACTAATTTTGGACTTCTGACAAATAACACATTCGAGCTATTGGACTGCGTAAATTTCTCTCTATGCCGAAATCAAGTTGATCAATTAATAGGTAACATCGTGTCAATCATGTTGTTCGCGCGAAGAACAGTAACTTCTGTATATTGGCCGCTTCCGTTGATTCGTGCGTAGACGCTTTTTGACAGTCTTGCAAGACCCTCGTTCTGTTGCGGGTTGTCCGACGAGCAAAAGTTACCACTTATATACTCATCGTTCAGCCGTTTGCTGTACTTGAATTGCTAGTGTTGTTGCTTTCATCGCCGTCGTCCTTCCTTCCTTCCTTCCTTCACCCGTCGTCTACTGCTGCTAAGATGCATCGCCGGCCATAAATTCTTGATGAAATGAACATTGTCTAGCAAGTAACTCTCGATTCGTCGAAGGATTCGACCAGAGACTGAAAACAGTCAACGTTTGACTTGCCCTCGCCTGGACGGGAGAGCGGAAAATAGTGTAACCGGCCGAAAGTGAATTTTCGATACTACTAGTTGTAGTGACGGAGGTAGAAGCGTGAAGAGCAGCCGTTAGGCAAAACCACTTTGTCCCGGTGAACACAACTGGCCGACTTGAAGAAATCTTACCTAGATCGACAAGGACGCTAAGCAAAAAAACCGTCGACGATATAACACCTGTTTGCAGTAACGGCTCATTGTCATAGACGAGCCGCTCGTCAGCTCGTTATATTGTAGTTGTATAGGTCGTAAAAGCATCGACGCTAATAGCACCATGGACGAAATAGTCAGTTACTCACCACCGCTAAGTTACAACGGCTATTTGCCAGATACAGAAACATCTGTGCATCATCCTTTCTAAAGTAGAATATTTTGAGTCCGAGGATCGGGTCTTGGCTGTTTCCGAGGCGGAGAACACTGTCTATGTAAGCGGTCCTTGCCTTGTTCAGCGTCTATACGCTAACTGTATGGAAGGAACGTCAAGAACGGCGAAGCTTGACAGCCACATAGCAGGACAAAAGTGGTCCGACAACAAACTATGGACAGCTTGAATGTATGTGCAATTTGCTATTATCCAATCAGTAATCTATTTCATAACTGTTATTACCGTATTGACCCAAGAGCTAGGCGTTGGGTTTCGACTGTGGATCGAAATTTCTCGATCAATAGTGCCATTGAAATTAAATATAGGCAACAAAATGAAATTTATCGTGACCCAAGACACTGATAGCAATTATCTTGGACGAATGAAAATTCTTAGAAAATATCATACATGCAAGCTCTATGTAAGCTTGAAACTTGTCCTACATTGCATTACATACGTACCACCTATGTACGTAGTTTTAGGTTCGCACTGCTACCTTCTTCAACAAATACTAAACAGTATTACATTTATTATTTGATAGTGACTTGTAGCAGTGCGTCATGGCTGACGCTTTCCGATATCGGAAATAGCTCGAGTAACCCCTTAAAGATTACACAGTTACGAAAAGTTCAGTAGGCTTACCGGTGTCAAATGCCATTACGGCTTACTATATCTTCATATTCTATATTTTTTGGAGCAGTTATTTCCACAGTTTACAGCGTTGTAGGTATAGGAAATAACTCGTCTTCCAGTTGCGTTTATTACAAAAAAAAAAAAAAAAAAAAAAAAAAAAAAGGAATCGACCCAGCTGTCATTGTGGATGTTCGGACGGCACAATGCACTTTGTCTATGATGTTAACATTTTGTATTTTTAACGGTTCGTGCCATTTTGTAATTTTTCATCATTCCCAGTTGTTTACTGAACTTTGCTACACAGACCAGAAGTTAAAGATCAGTAGAGTGCAGTTATCTTTTAGATATATATATTCCACTTGTGCACTTTCTACGTACTCCTTTCGAAACGATTTTGTAACTTCGACAAATCGATATCAAAACTAGATACTTCGACGACTTTAACGTCCGGCGCCGCCACTGACCACTTCATCTAACAGCTGGCTTCAAACGCGAAACGAAGTGTCCTTGCGTTCAGATTCGAACGTAGACCAGAACATTATTAGCAGGCGAAAACGTTATCCACTGAGCTAACGTACGAAGTAAGCTACCAATATCTGCCAAATTTCTCTCTGACCTTTTGTTCCTTACTATCAGTACAGCCATTCCAATTGTAAACGCACCGAACAGATCTGCAAAGTGTCGATTTCACATCAGTTAGGTAAGAAAACCCTTAGCGATGAATAAGCCCTTTAGTTTTTGTGTCGGATAGATATTTAAGTGGCGAAAATAAGGTCAAGAGAAAGATTTTCTAATTTCTTTTATGGTTAGGACAAATAGGAGCGTTTCCAAATGGAACCCATTTATCGACGGTCGATTTTCACCTACGTTGTTTACCACCCTACCTAAACTGTTTGTTTACTACACATCGTAGGCGTTTGGCTAAAACGTGTATTGCTGTTATTCATGTTTTTTAAAAATTATTAACAATACATATTGTAGCCTTTTTTTTTTTTTTTTTTTTCTATTTTAAAGAGATTGATATGCTATTCGAGTTAGATATTATCAGATGCGATGTTGCGATTTTCCGCCAATCGCAAAGGCTAGAATCTTTCATTCATCTGACATTTCCTTTTCAGTCTCAAGCATTTAGACGCAGAGGCTTATTGAAAGAGATGTTCGTTTTATGCCTTTTAGTTGTGGATGTAGGATTCATGACAGGAAAAATAGCCGAGCAATTTCGCTGCTTTTCAATTTATAACTTGGATTTTTCTTTTTAAAAATTTTTTTGATTTATTTTTTGAAACTCATCGAAAGCTAATGAGGAAAGTTGGTGAGCGTACGTCAACGGTGCTTTAACTATAGGAAGAAACAATAAGCTTTTGATTAAAGTTCAGGGTTTGGACCCTGATGACTCAACCAGCTAATATCGGTATTACCAGAATTTTCACTTCCAAATGATTCGTACAAACGTGTATCTGTACATATTGTAACTTATTATGCCTATGATATCGTGAGTGCAATCGCAGTGTAGTGCTGATGTCTCTGACTTCGCCAGTCAGAACTTTTTAGTATCTTGACGTAAATCTTGATCTAAACGAATTGTTATCTATTAACTTTATTCAATATGCTTACAGAATAATTGGAATTAACTGTAAGTGATAGGAACTTGGATATATTCGGAAAACTTCATATTTCTATACAATATTTCGCAATGACTTCAGATTGTGTAAAAAAAAAAATTGATATCAAAGACACTTGCTGTTTTGTCGGAAAGACACAGTTTCTTTTGGCCTGTAAATATATTCCCTAAGGAGCATTACAAGTGAGACATTTAACGCAGTAGTTTCTGCCGATAACTGTATGGATGATTTGTCGAAAATCTGAATGCACTGTATTGTTTGCTAACTTTTTTGTATGAGCTAAACCATTTAACCTTTAATGTTTCGTGATGGATGTGATCGCCACCTGTGGCATGATGGGGATCAACTTCAAATGTAGTACGTGTTGAGGGTGATATCATATTAAGGCTGACCATGAAACTGGGCCGCTAGAGTTGAAACCCAACACTTGAATTATGTGAATTTGCCGCCCCATTTACTTCAGCACCAACGTAGTCAAACTAGTCTACTAACAATGCTGAAATTTAATTTCGGTTTCTAGGAGCGACCATCGTGCCTACCAAGCAACCTCACTCCTCAAGAGGTGCTTTTCAGTTCGACGACGTCCATGACTGCTCCACACAATAATAACAATAATAATAACGCAATCAACAATAATAACAACACCGCCGTCGACAATAACTTTGACAATGTAAGTGTGAGATTCGTTCGAAGCTCTTACCCTGTTGCGAATGAACGTCCATATATATGTTCGTATATACACATATATATAGATGCTAAATGTTCATAACTTCGACTGCCCGCTAGCGACTGGTACATACTATACAATTTGCTTCATAAAACATATCTAAGATTGGATAAATAATCAGGTATCTATCTTAATTAAGCCGTTATGCGTTGAAAGAATGAATCAAATATCATCATAACAATTTATAAAACCAAAGCAGCACAATCCACCTTGAGGTGCTACATGGGTATGACTAAATCCTTTAGTTCCGCCCATTTGACGTTACCTCTGCCGGTATTTGCCGGTAAATCGTATATGAGAAACGACGAACACACGCTTTTTTTAACCTAACGCAGCAATTTTCTGCACACTTTCACAATGCATGAGGCTGTGTTGAATTCATTTTATTCATCATCAATCATGACAGTCACTGATCTAATGAATAGTTCGCTTAAAGATTGACCTTATCGAATGAAAATGGAGTTTGGCCCTCTTGATGTGGATGTGCCAAATCCTTTACTCTTTCCTTTTCACGACAGGGAGACACACTGGCAAGTGCGAACGGAAACGGGCCCCAGTCGATGGATCAAAACTTTAATGAGGCCAGGTTTTACCAAACAGAGGTTGGAAATACTTCGTTTACGGTGCTCAAGCGATACCAGAATCTACAACCAATAGGCGCAGGTGCACAAGGTATTGTGTGGTACGTATGGAAATAGTTCGTCTTTATTAACCTCTGTCCTAGCTATTGACAAATATAGACAGTTGGAATAACATTTAACCTAATTCAGTGTTTGGCGATCATATACTATTTCAACTTTTTCAAATTTTCTACATAAATTTAAACTTTTACATATTCGTTACACACCTGTACTGGCAGACAACTCATTGTTTTCTTACCCAAAACATTACAAGAAGTCTATTTATTGGTGACGATGATGCATCGCTCAATTTTAGCCGCGCCCTAGACGTTGAGACTGGTCGAAACGTAGCCATCAAGAAGCTTTCAAAGCCTTTTCAAAATGTGATTCATGCGAAGCGGGCATATCGCGAGTTTAAACTGATGCGGCTTGTTTCGCACAAGAACATCATTGGCCTACTAAACGCCTTTACGCCGCAGGCCAACGTGAGCGATTTCTGTGATGTCTACCTTGTTATGGAGCTTCTCGAAGCTAATCTTTGTCAGGTGAGTGATGTGAAATTGCGTGGACGCTGGAAAAGTTAGGGTAAAAGAAATTAGATGTCACAGAGTTGAACATCATAGATATTTTTACAGGTTCTTTCATAGTCGGTTGTCATTACTGTTTGGAGGTAAATAAGCCTCCGCGTGGACTTGGACATGTGTGGAAAACAAGGAGTGAAAAATTCAGAGCAGTCAGATTCATTTAAAAACATCGGATGTAAATTTATCGCCAGATTAGACTAATCTGGTACAAATACTGACGGTAAACGATTTGATAATATTGTGTTGTCCTAAATATCCTGCATACGTTAAACAGTTAACTGTAGGCAGTATCTCGATGCTCCAATGGAATTCGTCAAGATACCACATTTGCCTGTTAGACCACAAATAGCCTGTGTTTTCAGTATCCTTTGTGCACTGCTGCATCGTTTTTACGCAAATTTGAAGTTCGGTGACTCGGCAGTTAACAATGTGTTTTGTTATCAAGTAAAATATACGAAGTAACTTAGCGTTAATTTTCAACAACAACCGCTGTCGTTGTATTCCTATTAGAGTTGGAAAGTTTTTAACGTTAACATTTATATCGTGTCACCGCGCAGTGTTTGAATCGAAGAGAAGCCGAGCATAGCAGTGGTAAATTTTCATTATGTTTCTATATTATGTATTGCATAGGTAAAGCTGAACCTAGTGGCGTGCTGTGTTGATGATAATACGCCCTGTTCAACGTATCTGTTGATATCGGATGTAATGAAAACGATCTTTCCGGTCATCGCACCTGTTAAGTCTTCGATCTTCTAGATGCTTTTATAATGTTTAATTTCTATTATTTTTCTGATCGTAAAACGAATCAATCATAATTGAAATTCGATTTTTTAAAAATCAATACCCCCAAACCAATAGAACGCACGCTGAAGCTTCTGCGCGATTTGATGAAATGTCATTCACCAAGGGCAAGGTCGTAAATCTAAAGTTATGAAACACTTTTTTCAACTTAATTGAATTTAAGCACTGTTTTTCGTTCTTGCAGGTAATCAATCTCACTCTGGACCATGACCGAATGTCGTTTCTCATTTATCAGATGCTTTGCGGCGTCAAACATCTTCATTCAGCCGGCATCATCCATCGAGATCTAAAGCCTTCCAATATTGTCGTGAGTAGTTCTTGCGAATTAAAAATTCTTGACTTCGGCCTCGCGAGGACGACAGGAAAGGAGAGTTTTACGATGACTCCTTACGTTGTCACACGATACTATCGGGCACCTGAAGTTATCCTTGGTATGGGCTACAAGGAGAACGTAGACATTTGGTCAGTAGGCTGTATCATGGGTGAAATGATTCGTGGTGCTGTGTTGTTCCCAGGCACCGACCATATTGATCAATGGAACAAGGTAGGTAAAGTAAGCTATTGTAGAACCCTGCTTGCATTTTTGCAACAGCAAAAAATTATTTTTCAACGAGATCTTTATTTTATTATTTATTGTCTTTATTATTATTATTATGAATCTATACAATACTGGTCCTTGTTCTCTATTGACTTCAAAGGCGCAAACGGTCTGAGGCCGATGTCAGGTTCCAATTTTAATTTATATTACCAGGTCATCGAGCAGCTCGGTACTCCCGCAGAGGATTTCCAACGACGTTTGCAAAATTCGGTGCTGACATATGTCCAGTCACGACCCTATTGTCAGGGGTATTCATTTGATAGGCTGTTCACCAATTCCTTCTTTGCTGACGACAGTCCCGAAGGTCTGGAAAGGGCCAATCAAGCCAGAGACCTCCTATCGAAAATGCTCGTCATCGACCCAGAAAGACGTATCAGCGTCGATGATGCTCTTCAACATCCCTACATTAAAGTCTGGTACGAATCTACGTCGTCGTCGAAAATATTTAAATAATATCATGCGAAATTGACATAATCACGGATATGGTAGTAATATATAACCTATACGCGCAGAGTTTCACAAGTGTTCTTATGAAGTCTAAGCTATAACGAAGATAATTTGATAAGTCCGAGCTCTTACAGTCTCCTTGTATAGGCCATTATTTCATAGCTTCGTTAAGTCTACCTGATAAGGTAACCAAAGCTACGCCTATCATTTCCAAAGTGACGTCTCCAGTGTAATATTCGTTATGTTATCATTGAAAGTTACCATACGAAACAATGCTTTTAATATGGTTCACAGGTATGATCATGCTGAGGTGAACGGTCCTGCACCTGAACGATACGATCATAGTATCGATGAACAGGACCATTCAATCCACGAATGGAAAGAGCTGATCTTTCAAGAGGTAATGCAGTGCCAGGAGCAACTGTAGCTATAATCGCCCCATTGGCTAGCACAGAAAACTTGAGATCCGAACCTGAGTCTGGAGATTTTACCTCTTTATGAATGCAATAAAAGTACGGAACTCTCTAAGGGCACGACGACAATCAGGAGAGAGAGTTCCTGCAAAATCGAATTCAATCTCTGATCTGCTGGCTTGATCGCCTGCGAACCTTCTTATTGCCCACAAGCAAGGGACGTATCAGGACCTACCTGAGAGAATGTGCATAGATACTCACGATTAATGGCAGAAGGCGATCATTGCATGACGCTTCTATTAACGCAATAAAGCCGCGCTCAGCTATGAGCAAATACTTAGGAAGGGACAGCAAGAGCAAGAATGGTTTCAATCACTTTAAGCGCGAGTGGATGAAAACGCTAATCGAAATCATTCCGACAAGCGTCAGTCATTTATATATATATATATATATACATAGATATATATACATATATATGTACCCAACGCATAATAAGAAAGGCACCGCACCTTCCATCATCGATGAGGAATCAAACAAGAGGTCTTTGACTATAGAACTGGTAACTTCAACTGAATTAGAAAGAGACATGCAGCGCCTAGCTTTAGGGCCACCGGCCGCACAATGGAATCTGAGAAAAATTCACGATCGGTAGCTACTATAGCCACCTGTATGAGCCAACGCTGGTGGGTGTTTCGAAAACGAAGATTTAAGATGACTATTCTAGTGGGAAAGCGTGTTTTCGTTGGACAAGGGCGCTTGGAAAGATTCGAATCCGTATTTTTTGAGGGGCTAATAAACGAGACATGTCGGCTAGTCGCTTCATACAATTCTCAGTTGTGAGTTTCCTCAGCTGTGCGTCGGTGCACCCGCACTCAAACAAAATAACGGCACCAGATTGCAGTTGTACTATTGCCACAACGACAAATTAGTATTAAACGAAGACCTTCGACGAAACAAAAAACAGACGAAAAGGCCCAAGATTCAACAAAAAGGACCCCATAACACGAAAAGTGGCGTTTGAAGCAGCCAAGGTTCGATTGACACAAGGAACTTGACGTTTATATAAGTTGGCACTGTTATTAGAGGCGTATAGAAACAACTGATTTCCTGTAGAATACGTGTTTGTAGACAACGAATATGACGTAACAGATTAAATTGGTTATCGTGTGGTCGTATCGTATATTTATGACGCCCATATAACTAGCTGTCGTACACTTGAACATTGCAATGTTATGCAGAGTCTTTGCACAGGATTCTCTTGACTTGACTTGACCTGATCCAGTGATTTGTCAGCTACACGAATTATGTTGTCGGCTCAACACTGAATCTCGCACCGGAACTAACCAACAAAGAATGTACGCTTACACTAGCGAGGACTAAAATATATAAATATTAGATATATACATATATAGCAGTGCTATGATAATTTATAGTTTAAATGTAGTCAATCGTAGAGGGTTGTGCACTTTTATGCTTTGGGTGAAAATGGCAGGCATTTTACAGTTTGTAGACTCCATGATCCGCTCCTGTAGATGTATTGCCATTGTTAGTGCTGAGCTGATTCAGGTTCCGTGGATCAGGAGAAAAAATTGTAAGCTCGTAAGGCTACGTTGGCAGGAAACAGAAGCCCTAATAGTTAACATCGCGGACCAGTCAAAACAATCCTTTCTTCATCCAAGACGAGTTACTTGAAAGCTGTGAACCGTTTACCATTCGCTGATATCTATATAATCATCGAACGAAATCCAGGGTGAAGAAAAAAAAAGGTTCAAAGTGACTTTAAGGAAAGCAGCTTCTTCTTGAAGAACGACATCTCTCATAATAATTATTCGGTTATTCCATAGTAATCTCTGCACAAAGCCCACAGTTAATTGGTTCGTAGAACAAGTAATCAAAGGCATCGTTCAGCAGATGTCTATTGCGAGAAAGGGGTACAGGCACAAATACAAATCAGGCGAAACTAAATAAAGAAAACTACAGAGTGACACCGATTGTTGCCTTTCAAGTAGAATAAACCGTACCATTTGATTGGCAATTATCTAGATTTACTGGATCACTATGGTGATTACATGTATTATATGATATGTATGTACGACCGTACCGATGCAATAGTTAACGACATAAAATATATACAGACCATTTCAGACATCGCATCGATGACCCATTTATATTCTATATTTCCAACCAGACATAATTCGAACTTCGTGCTCCTTCACGTCATTTAGAATACAAGCGATCACTGAGTCACTATGTAAATTACCCGTCCTATGACATCAGAAAGACATTGCATGTTTTGATAATAATTTCGAGGGGGAGAAAATAATCAGTAAATCGCGCTCCGAAATCTAACGCAGAGTTTGGATAAGGAAGCTGTCAAGAGCTGATCAGGAATATGCGCAGGGCAAGACAACTACTCTGTGACACAGTTTATCTTGAATCGTTTGAAGGGGGGTAGAGATGGAACAGAAGAGCTGCTTAAGCAGTGGAGCAAGAAATCACTGATGTAATGACCTGCTTACCCAACATAAGTTATAAATATTATATTAGCCAACAGATAAAGTTAGGAAGTTATAATTGAAGCAAAATAAAACTAAAGTTTCTTACAGTTCACTATGCAGCTTGTTTTAAGCGTACTCATAAATTAAGCACAGAAAACAACTATATGGGAAACTCTGCGACTCTGCACCGAAAGCATTCTGGATCCTATACGTTATTAATCACACATAAACGTTTATAGAACGACGATAGGCGTACACGTAAAAATATATACAGTTACATATTGAATCTGTACTTTTTCTATTGCAGGCAGTTAGGCTACGTATTACATACAGATCGTGTTTACTATACGAATTTTTATACGTAAAATTATAATCGGCTTCAATAATTCTCCCGGGTAAAAATATAGCATTGGACGTTGCAAGACCGAATACAACCTTTGGCCTTTCGTGCTAAGGAGGCGTTTCGGCAATATAAATGTAGTATGTGGCATGCCAATAACAATAAATTTCAAGGAAAAAGAACGTTTTGTTGGATCCGTTTTTGTTATTCACAGATGATTTAATACTTCGAGCTTTTTCTAAATTGTTAGATAGTGCCTGGCTATAAGGCATAGTACCCATCACTGTCGTATCAAAGCAGCGTAACTACTATTATCACAAAATTGAATTGGTTTTTAAAGCCTGCACAAGTTTCCCGCTAACGTCACCCATAATTGGAGCAAACATGTACAAGCTCGCAGAAATGACCAAACAACAATTGTGACACGCTTCGAAGTTATACATACGAGGCTATTACAATATATTATCACTTAAAATCCGCTAATTTCTTTCTTTATTTAGTCGATCGACCAGCTTAAATTAGTACTCAAGCCCAAAAAGCATTCCGCAGTTCTCGAAGCCATTGAATTTGCATGGGCACGCTCATACACAATACGACATTGCGAACAAGAGCCTGCGAATGTACTAGCCGAAAGGCTTGCAGCAGGAAGCGACTAATACTGCTAGAATACGGGTAACAACAATGGAAATAGGTAAACATAATATATATATGTACATGTGTGTGTGTGTGTGTGTGTGTGTGCAAACGAGCAAAAATAAACACAAAGAAACCATCATATCTCCAAGTGGTCTATTTATTGAGACCCCTTTACGTTAAAGCAGATCTAGACAAAATATTCATTATAGATTATGTGACAAGCATACTGCCATGCTGGTTCAAATCTCAGCGGCAACAAAATGGATCATTTTTTTATGATCACTGACTAAGAAGAAGAATAAAAAACTGAGGAAAGATCAGAAAGTTAAGATAATAGGAAATTTGTATTAAGTTTAATAGTTTCTTAAATGATTGCCATGTGGCAGAAAGATGCCGTATAGGTCCAACAGAACCGGCTTCGGTTAGATTCTTAATGGGGGCAAATATTTCACAATAGATGCTGAGAAAACGATTGTTTAATATATTAACCAGAAAAAAACACTGCCTTAAATATTGTCGATTTCAATGCCGTAAACACACCCACATATTAAAAAAACAGCAACTGTCTATGATCATCTCTCCAGTGCGCTCATTCTTTCAAAAACATTAAGTAATGCCGTAGTAGTTTTAGGTTGCCACGCCAAAAACAAAGGGGTACTTATAGTGGGCCACTTGTCTCTGTATGAGAGCTAAATGCTACACTACCCTATAACTAAATGAATCAAATCGAGCCGGTGATGATATCATATAGTATTTTTCATGTCATAAAACAACATGTTTATGAAGTGACATTTTTATCTCTTTGCTTTATATGTAATTAATATTATAATATATATTAAAGTTACTATAAAATTATTTTCAATTGGTGCACGGGGGCTTTCAGAAACGAAAACAGCAACAACAAAACTATAGTTCATCTCCTAAAAGAGCCACCTGGCAAATGGTATCAAAATTGAAATGTTTAGCATCAGAATCCGTGTGCGCACAGTAACCTTACTCCAAAAGTTCCACTAAAAATTCAACTTCGAAACAAAACACTCAAAACCAAAAAAAATAATTTACCAAACAGCTAGGTTACGTACTACCCATTCGGCTTGGAGGGCTATCCAAGTTTATTATCGCATCGCATCCTTAAGTGAAAATCTTATGTATTTCTCTGCACAAAGATAGCAAAAATAAATAACTTACTTGTATTTTATTAGCCGCGTAACAACACATTTTTTTTTGCTAGCACAATCAATGAAGATATACTCTTGCAAATACTCCTATGCGTCATTATTTGCGTGGATCAAAATATTTGTTATCCTATCTTTAATTCGGTTCTCTCCAATTTACCCGAGCAGCTTTCGAAAAGCCCCTTATCTTTTGCTCATCAGCCATGCTTGGTACGTTCAGCCACCGTATAACCAGCTTCGAGCCAGTCGTAGTTGAACGTGTGCTGTAGCCTTATTCGGACCTTCACAACGCCTCATCATACCGCTCCGTACCGAGGACTCTTGCATAGAGCTCACATGGGCTTCCATCGCTTGCGGGCCATTACTCTTTCTTCTCTCTGCGAACCTCTAAGTGGGAAGCGCTTTCTCCACATCGAGTTTGTCGTGCTCCGCGCTGCCATCGCTGCTGCTATGTTTCTAACAGTGAGCAGTATACTTACTCCGCAAGGATATATGACCAGCCAAAGGCCGATGCCGTAAAGCAGCCAGCGGCGGTGAAAAAGGCAAAAGGCCAAACTTCGCAATGCCGACGATAGTTGGGGTTAGCGAAGACAGTCGGCCAACGTGGGTGTCTTCGGCGCAAGAGCAAGTCGGTCAAAGGCAGCCCTTCCGAGAGCTATATATATATATATATAGCGACGGACGGGTGTGTTGAAGGGCGCAGCGTAGATAGGACTACCTACTACAGCATATATCACACCGTGACTCGCGATTCTTACCGGTCGTTCGTTTGGTCGGTGACGCTATTCGTCGACGATGGCCCGATGGGTTTGTTGGAGAAAGAGGAGGAAGACAGGATGTAATCGACAGTGGATTGTTCAAGGTATGAAACGACCGCGTCCCAAAAGCCAGCCCTAAGTAACCATTTTTCTTACATACCGTGTCTTGTTACTGGTAAAGTTGTTTCTCAGTATTATAGCCATAGTTTTTTTTTTACTGGGTTTGTTCTTACAATACATCAAATACATTCCTTCGTACAGGTTTGCAGGAAGTGGTTGACACGTACCCTTGTTTGAAGTGAGCTCGCAACACTGTTGAGGACCCTACTATCCCTAGAGGTAGTTTGACCAATGGCATCGTTGGTCGTTTGCGTGCCATTACTGCTACTCTCGCCACAGACGTCCTAGTCGCGGTACTCCAGCCTTGGCCGTACGATCGCCGCTCAACAGGTCTCCGTACCTGCGATCCCTGCATTCCACCAAGAAAGCTTCTGCTGGTGTATCCGGCCATAAGATGAACAGACGTTGCAAGGCCCGTATGACGCCCGTGTCTCTTGCGTTCGACATTGAGTTGGTTGTGGAACGATGGGAAGAGCGCGAACGTCGCTATTTCTCTAACCGTGGCTACCGAGTATGCGAAGGGTGTAGTGCGTGACTTATAGGCGGTTAGGTCCCTTCCTGTCCTAGGATCCCGCTTCAGTCATACCTATTAGCCCCTATAGCACCCTACCATCGGGGCTGCTTCAAGTCGTGTGCCTCACCAGCTTCCGCAGTTATCAAACTACGGCTACAGCCTTCGCCATGCTGTATCATGGAGTCTGCAGTCATGCTGTGTGTTCAGAAGTTAGACACCGACAATCAGACGCACAGCGTCCAAAACGTATCTAGAAAAACATTCGGAGTCCGGCCTTACAAAAAAGCGAGGAAGGGGAATGCAGAATGAACGGAATAATGTGCTTAGCGTACGTCGTCCAGAGTACTGCAACCGGGAATTGTATATGAAGCTTACCGTGGGTTTACATGTATATATGTTACAGCCACTCGTTAATGAATTTCCGAGCGGTAATCTTGATGGACTGTTGTCTTCAAGTGCTTGCTTGTTTAATACTTCGTTGTCCATTTGACTCTATTAGAACTGTATAAATGATTATTATTATTATTATTTTTTGGTTGGTAAATGCAGCAGGCAACTAAAAATCGGTCGATAGAAGACAAAAAATCAAGGGGACCGCCGGTCGAACCGATTATTTCCTTTTTTTTTTTTAATGATCATTTGCAACCATCCTTGGCTTGACATGGTAAAAATTAGTACAAGCACACATTCACAGTGCCTATATCAAACCCTTTATAGTAGTTATACTATGTTGTCAAATACACTACAGTACCATAACTGTTTTCGTATTTTTCATTAATTTAAACATTAAAACGACACGAAAAAACGCGTCACTTTTCAGTTTATAAAATTCGTGACCCCTATAGTAATTTGTCGTTTTCTTTCTCGACTTCATATTACAGTAATACCAACCCGAGTTCTGGGTTAAATAGTAAAGAGGAACTTCTGTTTATATCAGGGCATATGCAAAAGTTCTTCTTAATATATAGTAAGTTCTATAGAGTGACTAAATAAATAATACTACACCAACTAATTTGGAACAAAACATATACATTTGGATCGGGTCAAATCAGAGCTGCATACGATAAAGCGTAAGTTACAAAAAAAAACATTTTTCTGGCGAGGCATGAACAACAAAATCCAAAAGACAAGATTCTCTAATCAAGACAAGCAAGAAACATTTTCTATAAATAAGGGCCTGTGCCTTTGGTAACCGCAAAAGTTCGTTTTGTTTCCACAGGCTTCCTTCATACTTACACAGCAAACATCAGAAGCGTAACTATCTAAGAAGGGCAGAAAAAACGTGACGGTATGAGTTTATTGCGAAGCTTTGCTATGCTCTAATTTAAAAGTGCAAATCATTCTTTTTTTTTTTTTATTGTTTTTATATGAGAATACACGCGATGTTCTTCTGCTCGTTGGATCACTAAATTGGATGGATGGTGCTTAGGTTGGATGGTTGGTAGCATCACGTGCTGCCGACGCATCGGCAACCGCGAGCGTAGCGGATGTGACCGTCAGCGCACGTGCGTGATGTTTATATTGTGCCCATTCGTTGACGCATATTTATAGCTCCGGTCGCCGCTTACTCCTAGTTCATCGCGTTACCGACGCCCGTGGGAGAGTTCCAAGAGTCCCCAGACGTGTAGATAACAGAGGTTTAAGCGATATAACGACCCTATATACAACCTAGAACAACTTCACCAGAACGACTGTTCGGTCGGTGGTCGGCTAGGCTTTTCTCTTTGGTGCTAATTTTTTGCGTTTGCGTTTGCCCCTGCATAGAAGCGGTGTAGCGGCCGTCTGTGTGTGTAATAGTTTCTTATTTGTGATGATGAACGGCGCATTGCCGTCAACCTTTGCGCATATCACGGATCATATTCTGAATGACTAAGTACTTCCGCTGTAATGAACTCTAGCGGGCAGGAAAGCAATTTTAAGGGCTATGGATACAGGTAAGAGACGTTGGCAAATGAATGTCCCGGCATTTCAAAATATATTCGCATCAAAGA